TGGCTGTTTGTGTTTATTCTTTGTCCCTGCCCCCAGCCAGAACAGAAAGGCAAGGCTAGTGCTCCAGACCCCTAGGATCCGGCACAAGCCAGAGTTCGGTAAACGTTCACCCCATGACCTGAGTCCTATGTGTAAAGGATCCTTTGACTGTCCCATTTGCTGCTTTTCCCTTACATGCCCAAGACAGTGCCCAACACACAAGATGCCCCCTCAAAAGAGATGTAGTGAATGAATGAATGAATGAATGAGGGTTTTGGATCTATTTAACAAGAGCACCTATTACCTGCCTGGTCTAAAAGAGACCAAAATCCATGCCTCCATCCCTGCCCTCCAGGCATCTAGTCTTCTAGTTCAGCAGTCCCCAAGGTTTTTGGCACCAGGGACCGGTGCTCCTATGAGAATCCAATGCCTGATGATCTGAGATGGAGCTGAGGTGGTGATGCTAGCACTGGGGAGCGGCTGCAAATATAAATACTGGTCCGTGGCCTGGGGGAGCAGCTGCAAATACCATACTGGTCCGTGGCCTGGGGGTTGGGGATCCCCGATCTAGTCTACCTGGTCAGAGATCAAGCTATGGTACAAAATGACTCAAAAACACTCCAGGGCAGCTCAGCAACCAGAAGGGGGGACTCAGGGGGACAGAAATAGCAGTTGACCCCACTCCAGAATTTGGCAGGGCATACGCCAGAGCAGGCGCCTCCCTAGCCCTGACACACGGAACCCTAAGGAAACAGGTGAGCTCTGCTTGTGCAAAGAGACAACACCAGGCAAACAAAAGGCAGGGTGCCTGTCCACTAGGGCTGCCTTTCTAGGCAACATCAGCAAACATAGCAGTGAGCCCCAAATCCTCTCCTCTCCAAGGCCAGCTCAGTAAGGCCCCAGCACCCCCGCCGAGTGGGTGGAAACCCAAGGCCCAGCAAGCAGCACAGTGACACGGTGAGGTAAAGAATCCATCCTGAGTAGGAAGGTCCCACCCAGAACAGGAGTAGCCAGAACCTCTGCTGCAGGCCGGGGACACCTGTGGGCCCAACTGGCCCAGAGATTCGCAGGTATGGACAAGCTTAAAGGTTTTAGGCCACTGGTTCTCAACTACGGGTGATTCTGTCACCGCTACCACAGGGGACATCTGCAGAATTATGGACTGGGGGGCTGAGGAGCTGCTACTGGCATCTTGTGGGTAGTGGCCAGGAATGCTGCTAAGTGTGTCACAGTGCACAGGATAGTCCACAACAGAGAATAATCTGGCCTAAAAGGTCAATAGGGTTGAGGGTGAGAAAGCCTGGGACTAAGCTCTGGCTCCAAGCTGCAAAGGGTAATGAATGACTGAGGGCCCTGGTAACTGGGTCTGGGTATAGGGCCTGAGGTCCTGTAGGCTGAGAGCCGGCTTCTAGGCCCTTGATCCTCAAAGTCATGGTCCAGTGGCATCAGCATCACCTGGGAGTCCTCAGGATTGTAGACCGTTGGCCCCTCCCCAAGCCCCTAAATCAGAATCTGCATTTTAACAAGACTTCCAGGTGGTTCTCAGGTATACTCAGTGACTGGAAATCCTGGTGGCACATGAGGGAGTTTGGAAAAGTCTGCATCCCTTTGGGGAGCGGGGAAGCCTGGCCGCGTTTTAACAGTCCCTCACCCCGGTTCTAACCCACAGCCAGGGCTGAGGACAGAGCACTGCCCTGGAGGAAGCAGTTTTTCCTCCCTGGCAGGCAGGGCAGTCGCCATGGCGGGGGCTCCACGCAGTCCCCAGTCTCTGGCAACAAATGTCCTGACAACTCTCAGCTTCTTGGCATCGAATAACCCTTCCCCCTAGAAGCAGGGCTGCTTTTTGGCACCCGAGGCCTGGCTGTCTGCCATGGAGAACCTCCTGGGCAAGAACAGGCCGATATGGACAAATGGGAATCAAATCCAAGAAACTAGAGGAAAGAGGAACTCGTTTCACTGTGACTTGAAATCGGAAGGTGATGATGGTAACAGCCAGTGCTTCCTGTGTGCACTTTTCCAAGCATAGCCACGATTACCCCCTTACGCAGATGAGCAAGCTACGGCAAAGCAGGCACAGGTAAGACAGTTGCCCACGGTCACGGAGGTGAGAGGCTGTGAAGCCAGAGCTGAATCCCAGGGTGCAGGCTGCCCTATTCCACAAAGCCCTGGTGCTCTGGCACCCTCCTCACCCTCGGCACAAAGAGCAGAGCTCGTTAATGCCCCGCCCCCTCAAGCCGCAGGCTGGGTTTGGCTGGTCTGCTTCCTGGCACTTCTTCGGGGCAGCTACCTTTCGGCTGTCCTACTTTGGGGAAGAAGAAAGTGGGCTTTGGGCACAGAGCATCAAGGCTTTGCGTGACAGCACAGCTGGGCCACCTTTAGGATAAAAACCACAAACCGCATTCTCGGCTGGGAAATGAGAGAACCAAGCCGTGGGGCGAAGGGTCTCTTCCTCGTGGCCTGCAGTTCTAGGGAAGGACCTTGAGAAGGTTGGTAAGAGTGAGGCAGGGGCCCGGCCTCTGGTCCCCCCGACACCTCTTTCTAGGTGCCAGGTTAGCTCCC